TTATCGTTCGATGAAGTGGTCGCAGTCCTGTCGTAAATTTTCGGAGAGCAGACATGTTTGTTGAACATCCGGTACAAGTGTCTGACAATAACAAAAAAGAGGACGAAGATTGGGTCGACTATTCCAGCCGTGTGAATCACGAGTGCAAACGGTCACAACTACACAAGATGACAAGAGATCAGTTTAAATGTCTCATATACGTCTGTGGCCTACAAGCATCCAAAGACGCCGACATTCGAACAAGAATACTGAACAAAATTGAGCAGAATCCGGATGTCACATTGCAGCAAGTGACGGGTGAGTGCCAACACATGACGAATTTGAAGCACAATACAGCAATGATTCAGTAGTTGTCCAATCAGAACGACCAAGAGATTGTCTGCGCAGTCAGCCGTACTCGCCAAAAAGAAGCTACCCGTGTGAGTTCACCACACTCTAAATCTCCCTTTGTATATTGGTTTTATAGAGTGGCATTCTGCCTGCAAGTGTCCATTCAAAACTCACACTTGCAACCGCTGCGGCAGAAAAGGTCACAAGAAGTCATGTTGCCTGGCGAGTCATCAAATTGTGACCAAGAAGATGCGTAACAATGCCAGACCGTTCCGGCCTCCCAATTTGACCAGATCTATCACCGCAACTTTCAAGATTGACAGGGCCAGCAAGCGCAAATACACAGTTGTGAAAATCAACGATTTCAAAGCCAAGTTACAAATCGACACGGCTTCAGATATCGCCCTGGTATCTCCCGACACTTGGTGCATGCTGGGGCGACCGACACTCATATAAACGGGCCACACGACACGGAATGATTCAGGAGGTACGTTAAAACTGCTTGGTGAACTGAATTGTCAGGTAAACTTCCACGATAAACAAATCCAGACGACATGTTTCGTGACAGACCAGCCGGGATTAAATTTGTTGGGCCTCGACTGAATGGAGGTACTAAAACTGCTTGATCAAACAGTGAACAGTATATGTCAGCCACCGCAGATCAATCTGCTGTCGCAACCGTCGACATCAAGCCCAATGTCTCAAAGTCAAATTGAAGAGATAAAACGACGTCACGATGCATTGTTTCAACCTGGTCTCGGATGCTGCCATATAGCTACTACCGCATTGAACTTTAAACCAGACGCCAAGCCAGTCTTTAAATCAAGACGCCCGGTGCCCTACGCAACCCAGTCTTTAGTGGAAGTCGAGTTAAACCGACTACAATCTGAAGGGATAATCGAACGAGTTCACTATTCCGAATGGGCAGCACCGATCGTGGTGGTAAAGAAAGGAAACGGTAAAGTCCGTATTTGTGCTGATTTCTCGACAGATTTGAATTCCGTGTTGGAAGATCATAAGTATCCCCTGCCGGTACCAGAAGACCTGTTCAGCAAGCTCAATGGGGGAAAATGTTTCGCAAAACTTGACCTAGCTGATGCGTAACTGCAAATCCCAGTTGCCTATCAGTGCAGATGATTACTGACAGTAAGTACCCACCTCTGACTTTTTCAGTACAACCGGCTGCCGTTCGGAGTGAAAACTGCACAGATCATTTTTCGAACAAATAATGGATAACCTGCTAAGCGATATCCCAAATAGCGCAGTGTACCTGGTGGATGCGTTGGTTATGGGCTTAGATCCGCAAAAATAGATACAGACATTAGAGAAAGTGCTTTCGCGTCTCCAAAAAGCTGGATTCCGATTACGGGCTGAAAAATGTGAGCATCTATTAGAAAGTGTCAAATTTCTTGGGTTTATCATCAACAAACATGGCCCGCGACCGGATCCTGCCAATATTGAAGCCAACAAAAAGATGAAGCCCCCAGAAGACATTGCAGAGCTCCGCTCGTTAGCCATTACAGCGCTTTCCTACCAAGCTTTCACCAAACCAGAGGTCCGCTGAACTAGTTACTGACAAAGACAAGGGTTGTAAATGGACGAAGGAGTGCCAACAGTCTTTGGTTCGATCATTGTTCATTCCTTCTGGAGTCTGATAGGTGTCCTTCATAGTTATCAAACGACCATCCAGGTGTCGTGCGATTGCAGACTTTGAAATGTTCTTATCCGTATCGGCACGTACTCGGACTCGCATTTCGTGTAGTGTTAGAGTTGCGTTCTTCGCGATTCACTCCATGATGTCATCAACCCCTTCCTGCGACAGAATACGCTTACAACCGCGCGTCTGCATGGTATCCGGCTTCTGATCAAGAGAGCGACGAATCCAGGAATAGGCAGTTTGATATTTCACATTGTTCACGATTGCTACGATCTGCCAGTCGTTACTGCTGACGAAGGCATTCGCATCTCGGGCACGAATGTCTGGCGAGATGGTCTGTCGAACAAGAGAAGGCATATTGACCACGCTGGAATGAAAGACCTCCATTCAGTCGTACGCTTATGTTCCGGCTGTTCATTGCTCTCAGACCAATTGTGATAAGGCGTTTCGGACGTGTGGGGGTGGGGGTGGGGGCGCATAGTAGTTGGTGGCACCGCGCATGTCGATGGACTCGGGGTTCATTCACAAGTCTCACCTAGTCAGCGGGCAGTGCGCACACTTCACTTGACTTCTGCACCAAACCCTAACACCCAGCCAATGAGAATACAATTGAGGTCAGAGGATTGGTTCAGAGCGACGGACGAATCGCATAGGGTTTCGCGAACTGTTACACTTTCTTTACTATATTTTTGACTTTTTATGCAACTTTGCGGGAAATACTATAGACAGTCTATCGTCAATTGGGCATCGTTGGAATATGGGTAATTTACAGACCAAATGAGAGAAACAATTACCACTAAAAATGAGGATGTGTGGTTTCGGATGGCCGCTCCTGCGCAACATACTGGAATGGGGACAATGATCCACAAGATTTCAGTGTCTCTGGGTGATCAAAGGGTGCGAAGATAGCAAAAGCGCTGCGGACAAAAAACGACAATTGGTTAATGCTCAAGCTCACCGACTTGAGTGTTGGAGCATTTAGAAGAGCAGTTTGGCCGATGTAATGAGTTACTATCGTTAGAGGATAGCTTGAAGCTAACTGGAAGATCGGGTATAAACCTCACAGCAGCGAGGAGATCCGATGAAAAGCTGATGATGTTGAGACGGAAGGAGGCACCGAGATGAAGTGATCACACCCACTCTTACTCAAATACGGTAGGTGGTAGCCGAGTTGTGATCAGGCTCTCCAGACTATTCAAAGGCATATTGTTAGTTAAGGGGGTTTCGTAGAATTGCCGTTTATCAACCGTCATCCCAAGCTTTAAAAATTGTCATAAGGTGTGTTGCAAAAAACAGCAAAGTATCAGCCCTAGTGGTTTCCTGAGGACTGCACATTGGACCCTGTGTACTTCGAGTCGGTAGAAATGACTTCTGCCATAGTAAAGACTGTACCGACTCCGAATTTATACTACGAACGACTACAACAAAAGCATGAACAGCAGAAAGCCAACAATTATCAAACCGGATGCGTCAACACGTCAACCGGTATGTTTTGATGAGCAACTAAGAGTGATGCTTGCACCATGGGTGTAAATGCCTAACTGCCTCGGGCATACACAACGCTTAAACATTGGCATAATGTGATTACATGATTTCAAGCAGAGGAGGGAACTTTGTGCTGTTGCCACATTACGCTCTACAATGGTATTAAGAATTGTCCTCGCAATTGATCCGTCATGATTTAACGCGCTTTCACTTAACAGTCATTGGACAAATGCATGTGCTCACTTCAGACTAGTCACCCCGCTTGCCCCTACATGGGTTTAATTGTTGGAACTGCTGTTATGTGTTCCATGCCCATATATTTGTGTACTTTGTTGAGTTACTGTACTGATTTCATGGACATAAAAATACCAAAGCAAAAAGGCCCAGGTGCAAGACATCAGGAATGCCGTAATACTCCAAAAGATGAACAATATAACAGAAACTGCGCGTCCTGAAGCTTTAAGTCCCGCATGTGTGTGTGGGGGGGTTAGGAGAGCACAGACAAATTCGGTGGGAGTAGCTCTCACGGCACACAGGAACACTAAGCATGGTAGCATAAACTGTCGTCAGCAGCCGGAAAGATAAGGCGCATACCATCTAATGTGAAGGCCACAAGTTAGCATACAGCCCACGATCGACCGATGATGGTCATGTGTCAACGAGGCGCCCCCTGTACTGTTGACGCCATTTTTATTTACCAAGACGAAGGTATCGAATTAACGAGTTCGACTTCACAATATGAGCAATGATCTATGTATGACAGTCAAGCACAGAAAAGGTTAATGGATTTGGATACCAGGAGCAGTCGGAGTCCATGGGGACTATAAAGGCCACAAAGTAAAAGATTTAGCTAATTGACGGTTCGCCGCAGCCAGTGCCAAATCAGATAGTCGTCCACATGCCCGGAATACACTAGACCGCAGTTGCAGCCTGTTGCGCATCATCATCATCATCATCATCATCGGTAGTGCGCATCCATCGGATCCAGCAGGATTCGAACACATGACCACTACCGGCTTGCACGGCCAGTTGCCCAGTTGAATAAGCTCCTGACTGGAGTTGCAAGCCGATGGTGGTCATGGGTTCGAATCCTGATGGGTCCGATGGATGCGCCCTACTGATGATGCACAAACGGGCTGAAACTGCAGTCTGGTGCTTTTCCAGGAATGTGGACGATCATCTTACTTGCAACTGGCTGCGACGAACCGTCAAGTAAGTACATCAATGTCCGAACTCATGGGCACAACAAAAGATTTAGTACCAAACTAAAGTGCGATTATGCCTCATGACGCGCACTTGTGTGCGCGTGTGAGCACATTTCACCATGGTTGTACATCGGGGCTATTGGAAGACAAAGCGGTTAACATCAATGGCTTGGAGTGGTTGTTGTCATATGTGATCAAGCGAGCGTGATCAGCGTCATATTGCCGGTGCGTTAGACGAAAGCAGTTGAGAATAACAGCTGTAAGCTGTTCACGATAAACAGCTGGATTGATTATGGATTAAGAAATCCGAGAAAGCGAATAACTTACTCTAGCCCACTGCTGGTGAAATCGTGGTGACTTCGTGAACTGAGAAATTGTTTGAGAAGTTCACTGAGACTGCTGGATCCGGCTGTCAAACCAGTGGAATCACTGGATTGACCTATAAGTGATGTGATAAGGGACGAGGTCAAAGCGGCGCGAAGCTCAGCTTTAAAGGAGTCGGAAGAGGAAAACGTATCCAACCCATCAGGGCCTGTGTGTTGAGCAGAAGAAAGGGAAGATGATGATACCAAGGAGGATTGCTGAAGCGGCAACGCAGCGACACTACTCTGGGCTTCTGGTTGTGGAGGGAGACAGGGTTCCTCTGGTAATCTCATATTGAGCTCAGTAGTGGCCTCTACAATGGCAGCATGAGCCAAACGATTGGCCAAACGAGTCACTGGAGTGAGAAAGAAGAAGCACTTGATGATGAGCATAAGTGGTGGACTCTAGTGATAGGGACAGCAAATTGGCGATGGCATGAATAAAAGATAACCCACCGGACAGCAAAACACGTAATTCCTCTTCTGGAGGGCCAAGTGAAAGGGGTTTTGGAGAAATGTGTGGAATGGAAAGACCAGACTCGTGATCTGTAGAATCGCTAATGTTTGAATGAGTATCTACAGTCTCACTGTCAGGGAGAGTGAGAGTAACCAAAGAAGATTGGACCGCACTGGTACTTGAAGACGGATCAGGGCACTCGGTGACGATCGAAGAAGCGATAGAAGAGGCCGCCTACAAGAGAGAAGGAAAAGTGTTCAGAACAATTCACCACCGCAGCAGAAGTACGGTAGTACAGTGGGAACCTGCGAAGAGCAGAGTGCGAAAAGACTAGAAAAGAACTGAGTGGATAGCAGAATCCTCATCCACCGGAAAGAGTGACATTTCGGCACTATCGTACTCACAGGTAGTTGTTGTGTGTAAATGCAAGGACACTCAATCTCAGAGATACACGTGTCTCAAGCAGTTGTAAATGAAACAATGAGCTATAGATAAGAGTTCAGTGTTGACGGTCGAGTCGAACAATCGAAAAAGCAAGCTGGAAACAATCAAAAAGCCGATAGATACCAGAAAACGCACCAGATGGATGGTCAGGCCGGGGGAAAAGCTAGAGTTTCAGGTACAAAAAATATCTCGCACTGATTCCTAATGATATTGTTAAAAGTAAACGTTTCCGAATTCAGCTACTTTTTGGCCAGTGCTCCATTTTTTCCTACGCTTGCAATGTTTCCTCCACCATGGCAGTGTGCTGTGGTGATATTGTGAACCGAGACGGATCAAAAATGGGCTCCTGTTGGAAGAAATGCAGCATTATAATAAGTTATTCAAGAATACCGAAGAGTAGTAGGGGGAGTTGAATGGCATAGGTAGGAATTCGTCACATCTAGACTCACTCAGACAGCCGTCACACACCCCCGGAAAAGCACTGTACGCGCGTTTCATCCTTCCGGGAATCGTCAGCAGTGTGCATTCCATCGGACCATGGTAGGTCTCGAACTCGCAACTCGACTGTGCCAGTCCGTGGTTGAGACCACTGAGCTACGGGGGATGGCAACGGCCATCGTGAATAAGTTACTAGATGTGATTTAGTGCCGCTCAATATCCACTGACTTACACGTTACCGCGGTGCAGAGGACAGGGTAGATGTGACGAATTCCTATCTATACCATTCAACTCCCCCTACTACTTTTCTGTAATCAGTACGTAGACCAAACTGTTTATAATGTCATAGGTTAATTGGCGGCTTAAGTTTGGTACGTTCGTCGCTTGGTGTGAGGGCTACCCTGTTCTCTGCCCGACAGTAACGTGTAAGTCAGTGGATAGCGAGCGGCGCTATATCACATCTAGTAACTTATTCACGATGGTCGTTGCCGTCCCCAGTAGCTCAGTGGTCTCAACCACGGACTGGCAACAGACGAGTTGCGAGTTCGAGCCCTACCAAGGGTCCGATGGAATGCGCACTGCTGATGATTCCCGAAAGGATGAAACGCGCGTACAATGCTTTTCCGGGCTTGTGGCGGCTGTCTGAGTGAGCCTAGATGTGACGAAATTCTACCTATACCATTCAACTCCCCCTACTACTCTTCTGTAATCAGTACACAGAACAAACTGCTTATAATGCCATAGGATAATTGGCGGCTTAAGTTTGTTAAGCTCGTCGCTTGGTGAGGGGGGCTACCCTGTCCTCTGCACGGCAGTAACGTGTAAGTCAGTGGATAGTGAGCGGCGCTATATCACATCTAATAACTTATTCACGATGGTCGTTGCCATCCCCCGTAGCTCAGTGGTCTCAACCACGGACTAGCAACAGTCGAGTTGCGAGTTCGAGCCTTACCAGGGTCCGATGGAATGCGCAATGCTGACGATTCCCGAAAGGATAAAGCTCGCGTACAGTGCTTTTCCGGGGGTGTGTGACAGCTGTCTGAGTGAGTCTAGATATGACGAATTCCTACCTATATTATTCAAGAATGTTACCCTATCATTGGAACGCTATCCAAGCGAATGGGGAATGTAGTCGATTAGTTTCAATCAGTCAGGATATTTTCTTCAGTCCCGAGTGCAAGCCGACAAATTTACGTTGAACATTACCCCACACAAACATTAATCTTGCAAAGTTGCACAATTATGTTTAAATGCAATTCAGGCAGAACTTTATAGATGGGGAGGACCCAAATGCCACAACCTTTGTGACCAAGGTGGAAACAAGCGTGGGGCTAGCGATGAGGTATGTGATACAGACGGAGAACCAGAGAACCTCCTTTGCTAAAGTGTATGTAACGTAAACCAAGCCAGGAGGGAAGATGTGTACTTGCCACAAGCACTGAATGAAAGGAGCAGAGTCTCACAGATTCAGTGAGAAAAACCTGGATCAGTTGGAGTGGCACTGTTATGGCTACGGACAAAGTCATACACGATAAAGAAAATATTCACGGGTATTAGCTGAGAAAGGAATTGTGAACACAAATGCAGGCAGGCTACCTCGCACTCAACCATCGCATACGATTTCGTTTCCTGTGGAGTGTCGATTGCTTCCAATGGAGTGGAGGTGGAAGATAACACAAGAGAAACAACAGATTCACTCTGAGATCCTCTTGTGACGGATGCGCCGTCAGAAAGAGTGGAGCGATCCATGATCGGTGCCACCGACAGGGAAGTCGTGGAGTCCAAAAAGCCATTCTGACTGCGAGCAGCATAGTGAGAAGATGTGATTTGGTTACGAACCAGAGCGGACAAACGGTCGATGCACGTCTGAGGCAGATCAGTGAGAAGTGGGATCGAAGTGTGTTGCGAAGCAGTTGGCTTCGGTTTGACATCCGAGACGCAAACATCATGAGCAGGCTCACTCGGAGACGCTTCAGAACCCTGAGAGAAAAGAAGGAAATTATGATCAACAGAGAGCTGAGAAATCGCTGTACAATGCAAATTGAGGCAGGAGTCTTCATCAATTATGAGGCACATATACAGCACGAGACAGCTAGGAATAAATCCTTTAAAAATACTAAGAGGATAAAGTAGAGAAAGCAAGCCAGGTGTGCTGGTATCTCTATTGGCACTTCGTTGCTACGCGACCACCATCGGTTGTATGCATGCCAGGGTAATGCGAGATACCCCGCACCTGCACAGATTCGATTCGGAGACCTGTGGACTAAAACCGCAAGCCTGAGCCGCTACGCTACCGTTTGAGTCTGAAGTTAATTTACGTAACTGACGGAGATTGTAGCCGGCGCGTAGGTTTAACAGTCGCAAGCCTGCCTTGTAATCTTAGAACGTGGGTTCGAGCCTGCGTAGGCAACGAGCGATCCTCGCGGAATCCTTAGCGCGCGAGCGATCGGTGGTGGTTGCGCGGCAGCGAAGCGTTTGTACGGCTTACCGGCGTACCGCTGATGCCACTCATTTATTTCTCATAACTGGTAAAACTGTATATCGCATGCAACAGGCACACTCGTTACCGCTGGGCTTGTGGTGCCAACAGGATATTTGGAAAGAGGCCCGTCTCTCTGACCAACGCAGGTACCTTGTATCGTGAATGAAACTCAGATAACGTCCTCTAGATTTTTACATATCAAACGAAAAGGATGCTACAACAAAGTGTAACATTTACCGGGCTCCGTTTTGATTGCGGCGGGCTAGAACTGCATACCACATGGTCATCTGCAGAGTAGCCTTCCACCACACACTTGCCCCGCGGAGTCAATTCAGTGATAGCCGAAAGCGGTCGCTGTGAGACGGTGTCGGAGGTGATGCTGGTCGAGCACACAAATGAAGTTGGGGGGCGAGGAACATCCATGTCCATGGCCGCGGCCAACTTCAAGTAGGACAGACGGCTGTCTATGGAGGCCAGTTCTTGACTGTGGTAGGGCAAAAATAGTCGGGAATGTGTTAGTTACCTAAGGAACCCGGAGCGAGATGCAATGGTTTATATGCTCCGATATGTATAAGCGGGAGAAGATGGTTTTACAATGATGAATACGCTGTATTGGACAACAACTATCAGCGGGGATAGAGGCCGCTAATATGGCGATATAATCGAAGAAAGGAGGTCATCATTAGCTCAGCTACTGTGTCGCAATACAATACAAGTAGACTGGAGTAGAAAAGAATTAAAATAAAAACAAAACAAAGGAGAAAAAGACCCAGCACAGATAAGAAACTGGGGCTGCAGTATCAGGAAATAAAGGACCGATTGCAAAGTCGACCCTGACCCCACAATCACATAACGTCAGCAAGGGAATGGTAAATAATGCAGTTTGATGAAAGCTATTGAACTGAAACAAGTGTGCATAAGGATTGCGTATTCACCAAGCACGAACACGCAGCAGAACGACGATAACCACG